CATACTCATAAATGAAATAAATCAGATTCACATGTGGAAAACATCACATTGTCTCCATGATGTGAGAAATTGAAAGAGTTAATACGGTCAAAAATGTATATTAGGAGGGGCCGGGGAGATGGCTCAGTAGAATAAACGCTTCCCTGCTAAGCGCAAGGGCCTGAGTTCAATCCCCGCTTTAAAAAAAAAAAAAAAAAAAAAGGACTTCTTGATTACAAAAAGATGCATTTAAAAATGGTTTTATTGATCCACAGCATATTGCACATAGTTGGTGGTTTGTAATATTTATTATCTTTCACACATTACTTAGAATATGGTCCCCTGATCCTAGGACAGGATCAGGGCTTCATCTCTGAAAAATGCTAGATAAAACATTTCAGTGGTCTTCAATGTTTACAATTCAGGTTTCTTATTAAAGATCCCAAGAAGTCCTGCAGAAATAAAATTTGCTCAATGTTGTCTAATCTAGCATTTCCTAAAGTAATTCGACCATGATATCTTTTCTTATTTAGCACCTGAGATGCTTTTCTAGAATAGTTATTCCTAAGAACTCATTTTTGAAAAAGAATTTAAGATGAATTATAAACTGAATAGTAATGATAACTATGGGTGAAAAAAGTAAAGAGCTTGTCAAGTTACTGAAATCGTAGAAAGATTTCAAGGCAGAAAGATTAAGGTAACAAACGCACTTTCAGCAGCGGTGGATTCAACTCCTTGGCTTTATCACATCCACAGCATTTAACTTACTCCATTATGCTGAAATTAGTTCTTCATGTACAGTACTTTTCTATGTAACTTTTCCAAAAGAATGTAACTTTTTCCACAGTTAAGACCTGGTTTTATTAACTTATTCACTCTGTCCTAGCACAAATCTGGGTGTATGGAATGTATTAATCAGGCCATTTTATTTTCTGTATTTCTCTCGCTTTGACATCTGGGGTTTTGCTGACCCTGGAGAGAGTATTTCTGCCAGGATTAACCAGTTCCTTGCAACACTAAACGATACTCCTTTGAGCAGTAATTTCTCATGAAAAGTTCCCAGTCCACAGCCCCAGCCCCTGGCTCCTCCTCTGCAGGGCCACAGTCTACCCGCCCCATTATCCCCGGGCCAGGTATCTGCCCATCAGGCACGGATCTTACACCTGAGGGCCAGATGAAATTATACGAATGAATTTATCCAAGTCTGCTCAGCTGTCCTTTTCTGCCCCTCCTGTGGAAGCCACAGCAAGGGCTTTTGCTCAGCTCCTCCTGGTCTCTAACTGATCTTGGGGCTTGCTCTTATGGCTGCTGGGGTGGCCGGTCCCCACTTCTTGGGTGCCAGGACTACTAGCTATATCTTCAACGGCAGTCATTTCCTGACCTGTTGCCTTTGCCAAAGTGAATAATTATAAAACCTGCATTTTAGCACATAGAACACTCTCTTGAGCTAATTAAAAGAGAATTGATTTATAACTGATGGAAAGACTGAATGGATAAGTTTAAATAACATCTGTCACAGTTTCTGCTTTAAGATGTATTTGGAAAGTGGTTATTGAGATTCTCACTAACTCAAGCTAAGGTGCATTTAAAAAGGGTAAAATTAAATTCAAAATAATCTAGTTAGTGCAAATGTAGAAGAGGAAAG